TTAAAGACACTTGCCCGTGTAACAGCTACAACACCAAACCGGGGCTGTGGTTTCCTGAAAGCAAAGAGCTGGGTGCAGCTGAAGGCAGCGCTCCCCTGCAAACCTGAAAGTTAGCTCCCAGCAGCAGCTGTGATTCAGGCTAAGGTAGGATGCACGCCACAGCAGCTGGGCGAGCAGCTGGAAACCAGGTCTTCTTTAGCTGCCAGCCACCACCCCAGGCAGTGCTCAGGGCCATGAGAACTGCTCTTCTGTGCCTTATGGGGTGTGGGAGAAGGGGGCATTGCTCTCCCCTCTTTCGCTTTAGGATGGCAAGAAAGGCTGGAGAAAGGGATTTTATTTCCTCTTTCTCCTTCCCTAAGAATAGTCAGTTTGTAAGTCTGTTAAAAAACAGTAAACTAAACTAAAGTAAACCAGGTAGACTAAACCAAGTAAACTAAAACCCAAAGGAAGGAGCGGGTAGAAACATTAAGAGCAGGTCACAAGTCTTCTTGGTTAACCTCCTCTCTGCTGAGCTTTACCTGCCTTTTCACTGACACCATCCCAAGTGCTGCAAGGTAACTTGTGGTTATCTCACCAGGACCCTTGCTGGAGCTTTCTTCTTGGACTACGGGCATGATGAGCTCTTGGCATGCAGGGTCTTGGAAGTGGGGCTAGAGATGAGCAGGCAGGCTGTGGTGGATGGCTGCAGGTGGCTGTTACTGAAGCTGCAGGTTGCCTAGAGCCTGCATCTGGTGTAGGAATTGGATTGGAAGCCTGAATTGAAGTCTGTTTGGTGGGGATGTGCCAGCTCCAAGCTCCAAACCTGCATTGTGACAGTTTACTTGTCACACTGCTGTAGCAGACGGGAGGGATGTGAAGGCACTGAGAGGGCTGCAGGAGACACAGGGAGAACAGAGCGGGTGTCACGCCCTTGCTGTTTCACACTCCTCAGTCTCTGCTGCTAATTCAGCTCATTGAGAACCACAGCCCAGACCACGAGCTACAAATTAAAACTCCTTGCAGCTCTGCATTTTCCTTCCTAACCTGCAATTTCTGCGGGGCTACTTGCACTTATGCCTCTTCCACCACCTACAGCCCCACATTTTTGGGTGGTGAGGAGCAGAGTGACTTGCAAATCAGAGGTAGGAGAGAGAAGATGGCTTTTTCCAGCAATTTAACTCCTGTCCCTTCTGCCATTGGATCCTTTCTTGAAGGTATCCTTCGAGAAAGCAGTACTTCTGTGCCCTCAGAGGACACAGAAGGTTGATCTCCGTTGATATTTATCTATTACTGGTCTATGGTGTACCTAAATGATGAAAACAGCTGCCAACAGGTTAAGCAGAAATAGATTGCCTGGAACTGCAAGTTTACATCCCAGCAGTAATATTTCCAGTCCTTCAGATGTAGCTAGCAGCTTGCTGGGGTGTTCAGAGATTGACGTTAATGACATGTTATGCAAAAGTATCTCTTCCGGGACAGAATCTTATTCCTCCTAGTGCAGCACATGCAGTTATTGCTGTCTTCCACCCCAGAAGTGGCTGCATGTCTGATTCTGGCTACGTATGCAGCAGCTTGTGAAGCACTCTAAGACTTTCCAGCATGCAAGGCATTAGAGAAATGTAAGACAGGATCTGAGCTATGGCAAGCAGAGCGCGTGGCATCATATTCCATCGTGCAGCGGGGGGAAACAGGGATGCAAAATATGTACTCGAGCTGAATAAGCCATTTGGACAAAATAAGGACTGAGGTGAACTTTAGTCTCTGAATTAAAACCAAAACGGGATCAAAAAGTCTTCTCACATTGGTGTGTCACGGTTACCTCATGAAATTACCCCCACCTCCATTGCCACCAGCTGTATTCTAGTGTAGCAGTTTAATTCATAGTTCCAGTTGCTGAAAAACACCCAAAGATTGGGGCTGAGCAAACACGAAATCTGGTAGCTCTATTGTGGCTGGGTGAGTCATTTCAATACTCTGTGTGTTGTAGAACCTCAGACCCCAATGATTACTTTTCATTTCTGTTTTGACCTCATGGGACTTTTTATTTTTTGGACCTGCTCTGAGGGAAAGCATTTCAGATGTGAGCCTTTTCTTAGGTCTTTCTTGCTACTTCATGATTTGTGGTTAACATGGTGCTGGAGAAACCCAGCAAAAATCCCTCTGGTTAGCCCAGTCTAACCTAATCTAGTCCAGCTGCAGCCCCTGTGCAACCAACTGCAACATCTTAAGCCTCTGCAGACCAAGGACCACCTCGTTGCATCCAGTCACCACCTCCACCTGAAGCAGAGGGAAGGGGGAGCCCCAGTGATGGGTGGGCAGTGGGTTTGGGCTCCGATTGCATCCGCAGAGCAGAGACCCTGATTGCAAGGCAGGGGACGTGGCTAGCTCTGCTCTTAAACAGGATTTGCAGTAGCATTAAATGAAGAATCTGAAATTTTTAGCCCTTGCTAGAGGAGTGTCTCCAGACAGTGAAGAATCTGTTTCTCTTCCTGGTGAGGAAGGCCTGGTGGATGCAGAGCTGGCCAGGTAGGAGAGGGCACGCAGAGGGTGATGGCTTCAATATACTCTATAGGGTGGATGTAATACCTTAAAACCACGCAGCAACGCTGGCCTGTGCCAGGGTTTCAGCTTGCACGGGCTGGAGCTAGCATCAGACCAGGCGGCATAGGTAGCGCGGGATGTGCAGGCAGGACAGCTGGCCTCACGCGTAGCAGTAACCCAAGAGTTCACCCAGCTTCTCAGGGAGGATTTGCAGAGCTCTCTGTTATGTGGCTGTGTGGCTAGACAGTTCAAAGCTGTTTTGGCTACCCGTGCATCAGCTGTGCTCGATGCCTACAGTCGCTTGGGGATGTTTGTTTGATTGTCAAAACATTTTGGTGTCAAGGGCCTCTCCACACCCTCTGGCGCGATGTGATCCTTGATTAATAGGCTGAGCTTGACTGTTTGGGAGCCCGTCCCAGTGCTGCATGGAGAAAGAGTGTAATAGCAGTGTGTCAAAATGATAGCTGGTGTGACAGTACCTGCTGAGGTGAGAAGGGTGCTGGATAGGCGAGGTGTGAAGTAACGAGGAAGTATCTGAGCTCATTATCTGCTGAGGTAAGGGGCTGATTGAGCTGAAGACAGCAGAGCCCAGAAGGGCCTGTCCTACCAGGGCCTGGTGGTCTTGTGATCTTGAAAACCAGAGCAATCGGTTCTTGGTTTTGTTTGTTTTCTCTGCTTTATTTTTTTCATTGTCTGCTTCTGGGGTTGCCCAGAAGCTCGGGCATGGCCTTAGGCCCCCAGTGCTCACTGAGCCACTTTCAGCCATTGCCACACCGGGGTTGGGCACAGTTCAGCTCCTCGTGTGCACCTTGGAGGAGGAATTCATGGTGGAGCAAAGCCTGCCTCCTCTCCCCATTCCTGGGGGGAATGGCCGTGCCATGCACAGGCCGCAGCCCACCCAAGCAACAAGTGCCAAAAGCAAGCAGGTCTCTGGTGCTGGTTCTCTGCCACCTCAGGGCCTGGTGCTGCGAAGGGGCACGGACACAGGCAGCAGCTGCCAGCTTTCGAGGGTGCCTGGCTCCATAACTCACCTGGCGATCTCCCTGCCAGGCCCCGCTCCATGTTCCTCAGGATATCGCAGCAGTCAGCAGCCTCGGCGATTGGCAGCGGCAGCACGGTGACTCACCAGGCCTGGCCCTCCTTGCGCTAAATCCTGCTATCGAGCTGATGATCTGCTGGTAATTTTGCTCCAGCTGAATGCTGTAGACCTGCTCTCACGCATCCTGCTCTCCCTGTAGGCAGAAAGCTTCCCCCCAAATTACCCCACCCTTGCTCAGTGTACCCACAGCCTCTGGCCACTCTCCAGTGCGTTGTCTGTTTTGGAAACCAAAAACCTCTGCCCTAGTACCTAACTTCAGGAATTAGGCTCTGGAGGCCAGCGAAGCACCATGGAGAGGTGTGGGTGAGCGCTTGTCCCTGGTGGCTGCACCGCTGAGGTTTTTCTCTGTAAATGCCCTTTTCTTTGCATGGGGAAGGACATGGCACAGTGGCTGGAGAGGGCCTTCAGAGCAGCTCCCCAGCATGGACTACAAGCTGTGAAATGCAGATGCGTGTTACTGCACTAGTAATAAGCACAGCTCCTGATTTTTCCTTGCTGTTGTGTCTTCTCTGTTCCTCCTCCCGCCCATTTCCCTCCATTTTCTTCTCTGTCACTTCTTTGTGATGTTATACCCGATACAGGGACTTCATTCAGAGGGGGCTGAGAACCCCCTGGCTCTGCTCAGGGGCTGGGCTGAGAACTTACCAGCTCGTTTTGTGCAGGGCACTAAAAACTGTCCGTCTAGCCTGGTTCGGCATGCAGAAGGTGTGAGGAAATGCTTTAGTAACTAATTTCCTGCTCTGACCTGGGTTTTGGGTCTTTGTGAAAAAAGAGCTAAGTGTTCATATGTAGCTCCTACCTCACAGTCAGTAGCATTTAAGGAGAAAAAGGCAAGAAACAAAATGAGTTTGTTGCTTTTCCTGATTTGTGGGAGGAGCTCTGCGCTGAGCACCCAAAAGACTTAGCAGTTTGGAGGGGGAATGTCCCTTCTTGTCCTCGGAAAGGGAGTCTGGGTCATCTCGTCTGTGGGCACAGGGAAAAAGGGAAGGAAACCATGCTGAAGGCAGAAAGCTGTGCCACCAACCCTGAGTGCTGCAGTGCGACTTCCATCGGAGGAATTCCCATGGAAGGAACTTTGTGGGGAGGCGGCGGGATAACAAAGCTATCAGCTAAGGTGAAGGTCCAGCTGATGTTATAAGAGCATCCTGGCCCTTGTTTAGAAACTTCTGGGGTTTGTCTTAACTGCAGTTGTGAGGCTCCTTAATGATATGTTTCTGCTTTGCAGCTAGTATTAACACAGGAAAGCTAATTTCCTTTTCATATGTGAATCCACAGACCAGGAGGAAAGTTAAAGATGATATCAATGACATCAATGTCATTGTTGTTTTGCGTATCCCCCTGCTGAAGCCTCTTTGATTTAATTTTCCATCATTTATTTCAGAGTGACCAGTATCCTGTCTTGCCAGGGAGGTCAACAGAAGTTTAGCTGCTGACTTGGTGAACAGGACTGCAACCCGTATCTGTGATTAGTGATGAAATGAAACCCACGGCTTGAAATCATTTATCCAGCGTATCCGATCAAACACAAACATCCTCTGCACTTGGAAATAAATGAGGGTTGGAGCCAGCTCGCCTCTGCAGAGGTTTGTGACATGTAATAGATTGATGAGCTGAGAACAAGCTGCCACTCTCCACCCCCATCGTCAGTGACTTTCCAGCTTGGGGAAGGGGACACTGAGGCCAGAAGTGAAGGATATACTTTCCAATAAGTGTTTCAGTGGGAGGTGAGAAATATGAGCCCCTGGAGGGGGAGAAGGGAAAAAAAGGAAGGCACTGTACTCTGTTAAGCAGGGTACAGTTTAGACAGAGCAGCTGCCTGACAGACTTATGGCATGAGGGTGAGGGCAGTGGCAGCTTGTGCTTGCAGCACTTATTATTGAATGCTACCCACAGGTACCAGGACAGAACAGACTGATTTCTGGCTGATACACTCTTTTTCCAGTTGCATGTGAAGATAAGGGACCTGTGAGACGAAAGGAGAAAGCTGATGGAACAGCTGGCAAGGTCTGCCCACCATGAGATGCAGTAACGTCAGAAACAATCCGTGTGGCTCCTCAGCATCCCTGTGGCACCTGCAGCTGCCAGGAAAGAGGGTCCTTGTGCTCAGGCAGCCCCACCGAATGGCAACAGCCCCTCCAGTTTTGTTCTACTCCTCCGTTTCACAGCAGTAGGTTTTTGGGGATCAAAGCTGAAAATAAAGCCTGACTTTGAGTTCCAGTGTCACTGTTCAGTGATTTTAATTGGGAAATTCATGTTACTTTCCCTTTTCTTTTTTTCTCCCCCCTCTGTAGCATGCCAACTCTAGAAGCAGAGCAGAAGGTTCAGGCTCTCAGAGTACCATGCTTCCCCCAGTGCAAAGCAGAGAACATCAGCTGAACTGAGCTGTCATATCATGGTCTGGGTGGGTGAGCAGTGAGGGCATGGTCAGCCCGTGGTTCAGCTGGGGAACACTTACACATGGAGCTGGGACCAGTCAATCACTTGCATTTCTCTGCCCCAGTCTCGGTGTTCATTAAGATCAAAGTGAATTTCTAGCTTCCAGATTTGCGAAGGGAAGCTTGAAAAGGTGAAGCATGTGTTGCCTGAAAGCAAAAAAGCTGGAAAGCAAAGGAAACCTTTAACTAATGAGTCTGAATACATGTTCTTTTTGATTGTTTGATTTTTGTAATTGGGGCAAATCATACTTCAGAGGGACTTTGTGATATGGGGCATTTTCTGAATGATGAGCTAGTGCTTTAGGTTTTACAACCAAAGGAGACAAAAGCGACATCTTAGGGCTGAAACCTTGGGTTGAGCTGGCTGCTTAGTGAGAGAGGGATTTTGAATTTGGTAACAATCACATACTGTGTGCTTAAACACAAGGGCACTGTGCTGGTGGGCAGCTGGCAGGAGGTGCTGGTACCAAATACAGAGCCAAGGGAGCCTTAGGCCTGTGCCTTGCCAGCACTGCATTTCAGGGTGTCATCTCAAAAAATCCTCTGTCAGTGTGTGCTGAAGATACACAACCTCAGAATGGAGAAAGGTGGCTTGAACTTTTCTCATCCTTCCAATAGCAGCAGACAAATTAAGCTGACTTTAGAATTTAAAGTAGCTTCTCAGATGCTCTAATTATGGCATCTTCATCAGCACTACCTCTGAAACCCCAAACCCACACAGTCTGAGCGATATGAGTAGGTTCTCCTTCCTACAGCCTGCCAGATGCAGGGTCCTTTTGCATCAGTCCCAGAGTGCTTCTTGGGTGGGGTGGCTTTGCCCTGGCTGCTGTAAGGTCCCTTCGCATTGAGAGAAATGAGAAGTGCCCAAAGGACAGTGCCCCACTTACCACGAGGGCAAATGCCTTATTAGACTCATGTGAATCTTACACAAACCTTCTGTGCACACTGGTTGAGGAGGAAGTAATGTAGGGCAGCATGGTTTTACTTCCCCAATACCAAATTTATCTTCACTGGCTGGCTGTACCCAGGGCAATTTTCTGGAAAGCATCAGAAGCTGCTCTATCAAGGACTGGCTGAGCTCTTCTGGCTGCGGGAGCTGGGCACCTCTCAGCTCCCTCGTACCAGTCTCTGGAAGCACAGCCCTGTGACATGAAAAAAACATTGCTGGAGCCCAACTCTCACACACAGGAATGGGAGCAATGCTGGCTTTCCTAAAATACCATCCCATCAGCTCCATTGCAAGGAAAAGCCGAGGAAACTTATTTTTAAGCCAAATCCAATTTAAAATTAAAGAAAAAAAAAAAAAAAAAAAGGAAGCAGTTAAAGGTACACTTTAACGTGCACTAATGAACTGTAGAGTATATAGAGTCTAAATTTTAGAGATATTTTGAAAGCAGCTCCCCAAAAAATAAAAGCATTACACAGAAATCTCTCGATTTTCTAGGCTGTGTCCGACGTGTCGGTGTTAAAGCAGAAGCTGAGGATCTTTCCTTCTCCCTTTTTCACCCTCCCTCACTCTCACTGCCTTCTAACCACTAACAGTGAGTAAAAATATTCATGTTTCAGTCCAGTACCTTTTTGCACGCCTCACACTAGAGGTTTTTTTCCATTCCCCTGGGGTTGGGCAGGCCTCGATTATCACTCTAATAGAGTTAATTAAGAGCCTCGAGGCCCTGATGTTTTGTTTTCTTTGGGACCAAACCTATAGCTTGGGCCTGTGAGCTACCTGCTCTGCCTCAACCCCTTCTCTGAAAAACAACCAGGCGAAATTCAGCAAATGGCTCTTTGGGAGACACGTGCACCCTCCTGCCTGGCGTGGTGTTATGGGAGGAGGTGTCCTCTCTGCCCTGGGGCTGTGAAAAGCATCCTGAGAAGACACGTGCTGATCCGTAGCTGTGAACTGGACAACAGCTTAAACAAAAATAACCATAGGAAATGATTCAGCAAGTTAAGGCATGGCCCCAAGAAGCCCATCTCTTGGATGGGCTTGGTGCTTGGGATGCTGGCAGAGCAGCAGCCTGCTCAGAAGCAGGTGAATGCTATCATGTAGGGTCACTGATAGCTTATCCTTAGCACCTGGGAGAGCCAGTCCCCAAAAGTGAGATTTCATCCTTGCCACAGCCTCACTCAGCTCAATGGGAATCTCTGAGATCAGGTAAGGACTTTCCTTTTTAATAAATACAGGAGCGTAGGGTCACTCCCACACGTAGTATAAAATAATAAAAGGCTTTTATGTGGGAATCTTGCTGTCCTCTGGAGAGCCGTAAAGATCAAAGACTTAAAGCAGTGGCTAATTGCAGGTGAGGTTACTACTGTGAAACAATTGCCCTGTGCGTGTGTGTGTGAAAATAGAGAGGGCACGTTGCTAGCGAACTGAAATGTCTGCTATAAAACTGCTCTCCATTTTAAGGGTTGTTAACTGTTCTCTTGCTGAGTTATGAATCTTCTAAATGACTGGTTTGAGGCCCGGTGGCGCTTGTCCCCTTCCTAGGCTTGTGGCCAAAATGTGTGCCCAATGATCAAGTGTAGTACTTAAATGATGGGGAGAAAATCCTGGAAAAAGCTAGCATGATATTCTGGACAGGAAACTATGCTCTTTGGTCCATGAGGTGTTTTCATGGTGCAAAGAGGAAAAAGGAGACTTGAAAAGTACAATCTGGGTGTCTTGAAGCCTCTGTCTCAAAATTTTACAGGGCCGTTTAATAATTTGAAGGGTAACAGTAAACTATTGCCATGATTTGAAACTGTCTAGGCTACAAAACCAGGATGAGAACAGTTTTCCATGAAGCTGAAGGCCCCTAAGGATGTCCCTGAGCTGAGCTCTCAACCCTATGTTTACTACTTGTTTACTAGTGCTGTGGAAACTGTGATGAACCAGAGAAAAAAAAATGGTATTAAGAGTAGCGAAGAGGGGTTTCAAAGGGAAGGAACTGAGCTGGTAATTGAACAACAAAACGGCCTTGGGAATTCATGTCTGAGAAATGTTCCTCCGGAAAGGATGAGCAGAGCTGAACAGGCACAGCCCTGGGTTCCTGGGTACCCGATGTTCAGGAGACAAGGCCTGGGGCTGCTCTGTGGTAAGCTCTGTGTGGCCAGAAGAACAGACAAAACAAAAGCAGAAAGGGTTAGAAATGAAGACCTGATTTTTTTTTACAAGGGTAAGGCCCTGCTCTGGGGTCTTGTGTTTTCTCCTTGTGCAGATGAGAAGCTGAAAAAGCAGGGAGAAGGGACGGGGGCTTGGTGCACAGGGAGTACTTCTGTGTCAAGGCAGAGTGAAAGATTCCTTCCTTATGAGATGGTAAAGGGGATGAAGAACTGGCAAAATGACAAATACCAAGTATTCCTATTCTCCCTTTGCTTTTCTGTCATGTGAAAGATGTGTGAAAGATGTTCAGAGAAAGAGGTAAGCAAAAAGCAGATTTTCAACAAGCTTTCAAGTAACCAAAGAAAAGTTTTCATTAGCTTTTTTTTTTTTTTCCTCCTCTTCCCTTGCTAATGTCTGAATGCTCTCCAGACTGATAAGCTGTGCCAGGACTACTGAAATATAGCAAAGCCTGGGGGCTATGTAGATGTGTAAGAGTGGCACTAGGCACATTGTGCATTCGTTCGAGTTCCCTGTTCAAGAAATGAAGCAAAAGGCTGTATCCTCATCCCCTCCTGGGCTTTTCCATCTCTGCTCTGCATCCTTATAATATCTGAGGCAAGACACCTGTCCTCTGAGCTCAGAAATATGGCTGTGGCTGCTACTTAACCCCTCTTTTCACAGCAGCTATCTCCTCTCCTCCCTGCACCAATGGCCTAATTGCATGTGTGCGTGTTGACACAGGGTGGAAAGAAGAAAGTCTTTAGTTAAGCAATTAGTTGCTGCCATTGCAGGCCCTGCCACAAGATAATTGAGCACCATTAAGTAATGTTTGGTTCTGAAATGTAGCAATTATCTCAGTAATTGCAAGGACGTTCCTTGAATTCTAACCCATTTTTATTGACGTGTGGAGTGCTTCTGCTCCACATCTAAGCTGCTGGAGCGCCTGGTGTGAGGGAGCAGGGGAAGGAGGCAGGCAGGGAGGAGGAAGGAAGCATGTCCTCTGGGAGATCCTGCCAAGAGCCCAAATTTGGTGGTGGTGTTTGCATTGCAAGCACCTGATACTGAGCTGGCTTCACCCCGCTCCTGCCCAGACCTCTCAGGCCGAGCGGGGGGATCTTCCCCGTCCCCAGGCCAGAGCGGAGGCGGGCTGGAGGCACGCTCTCTGCCCGGGCTAGCACTTGACCTCTCCAGGTCTCTTTCTCCTTTTAAATGTGCAAGTCATCCTTGCACAGCACCCGGCTGGTTTCTGGGCTTGGAGGTTTGCAGTCCAACCTCTCCTCTGCCAGAAGCAACAATCCGAGGGAGCTTCAAGGGGCTGGGATCGGCCACTAGAGGGTAGCACAATTAAAAACATAAGGAAGTCGCATTCCTTGCAGCCGGGCTGGCTGCGCCAGGGGATGAGCGGCGGGGTGCCGAGACCATGCAGACCCCATGGCCACGGATGGGGCAGCGCAGGGAGCTCAAGGCAAGGGGAGGGATTCCCATGGCCAAGCATGAGCATGTAGCAGCAGAGGCTGAGCCGGGCTCTCGCTGCTGGTCCTGTTCTTGCTGGCCATCCTCCTCGCCACGGTGCAGGATCCCACAAGAGCTTTTTGGCTTGGCTGTACTGGTGGCTGTAACGTCCCTTCTTGAGCTGTAGCTGTGAATCCAAGCTCTGAGCTAGAAAACCAGCAGGCCAGATGGAGAATACCAAGGTCTTTCTCTGTTTTCCGAGTTAATAAATGTATAAAAGATTTCTTGGGTTAAAAATACTAGAGTATGTACTGCTCTTCTGTTTGCCTCTGCGGGCACGTAGGCCGTTCACAGCACTGTGTACATTAGCAGGCGAGAATGCGCCCGGTTCTTAAAATCATGCTGCTGTATGAATGGAGATAAACGAGTGCTGGGTCACTCAAGAAGCAAGGTTTTAATTTTAAAGCGTGCCTATGGAGCCAAAGGTCAGAGTGGAGCCACCCTCCCTTGAACAAATTCCCCACCGCAGCACCGTATTAACATGATACCTTAAAATGCAGCTGTGCTCTCGGGTTAAAGTCCTGGCTCTGCACAGAGCACACTCTGGCAGGATCAGTTTCGAGGATGGAGAAATACGGTGTCTGACGCATGCTAAAATGTCTGTCTCATGATCCGCTCTGCAGTAATGCATCAAGCATGTCTTGAAACATGGGCTTTGCCAGGTGCCAGCACGCGCCGGGGACAGGAGGTTAGCTGTGATGTTGATATAGTTAATTGCAGATACGGAAAAGTCTGGGGAGGAGAAAGCAAATGCTTTTCTTACGGTCATGTGGCTCGTTAGAGAAGAGGCATAGCACTGGCAGGGTGAAGAACTTCTCTCTTCAAGGGTATTTGTAGCATGCTAAGAAGCCTCATTGCTTCTTGGAGGTCATAGTGATATTCCCTTGCCGTGTCTTGGGCAGCATCTGGATATGAGCAGGTGTCCTGCAATAGCACGGTTATGACGCTGTTGTGAAAGAAGCAGTGACTCAAGGTAGAAATTTCTCATCGTGTAGAAAAGGGCCAACTTGAAACTGATCCTCACGTATTGCAGGATATCACCACTGTGATATCTAGCATGCAAGAGCACGGAGTGCTTATTTAACAGTGAGTACGTCCTTGTAACCCATGGGACATACTGTGGCTCTTGCCCTTTTTCTGCCCACTTTAAACAAAAAGATTTATTCAACACATCACAAACAGTCAACTTAATGTATCTTGAGAGCTTGTTGTTCATCATCGGACAACAACTATGCCCTAAGGTGACTCTGCCCATTCTCATGTGCCAGCTGACCTCCAGAAATCCTTGGAATATCTCAACTTTTAGGTAGCTTTTAGAGCACTGCTCCCTCCCTCAGTTTTTAGTTAATAAATCACAGTCAGTGCCACTTTACTGTACCTACCAGCATGACTTATGGCTGGTACAGATACAAGTAGCTATGTAGCATCCCTCGGCAGTGGAGTTGCTTGTCAACCAGAAGAAGTAAGTGCTGGGCTTTCTGGCATGAAGGGTAAAAAGGAGGAGAAAATGCTGACCCTTGATGCTTCCAACTCTTTGGGAAGTGAGAAGCACACCCCTGGCAGCCTCCAGTTTCCATGTGCATTGCTCTGGGCTGGTGTTTTGTGAGCAGTGGCAGGAAACAAAGACCAGGAGGCTCTGTGGTGTCTTGCTGGAAGAAATGACCATTCTCCAGCTGGCAGCATGGGTGTGAACTGCTCCCCTGGGGCATTCGAAACATGAGCGTGTACAGTAGTGGGTTGAGTTGTGTGTGGTGGCGTTTTCCTCGTTGCCTTAGGGAACAAATAAGTCCCTCATTAGCCCTTGGGTGGCCTGGTGTAGGCTGTGTGTGCTGGGTGGCACGCTGCTTCCCTGGCCTGACCCTGACCCTGGAGCACAGCGGGAGGAAGATGACGGGTGGGGGGATGCGGGGGCTATTTTTGCTGCTGTATCGCTATCTAGTTAGACTCCAAGGTGCTGTCCTTCACTGCTGTCTGCTGCCTTGCTCGCTCTGTGACTCTCAAGTGTTTACCATTGACAGGCTGCGAGCAGATGGACTGGCAAGAAGAGATAAATTTGACCCAAGAAGATGTCATTTGAGGAACAGCTGAGGCTAGTATTTCACCAGATGTCCCAGCTTTAACCCATTAGCGACTTCAAGGAACTCAGTGTTGTCAGTGGCCTAAACACACTGTTACCACACAGGCAGGGCACGAAGGCTATTGTTAAAATCTGCTCAATAAGCAGATATTCTATATATTTTTTTTTTCTTCCCTCAAGTGAGCTGCCATAAGCTCAGGCCCAAAAGGACAGTGGGGTAGTAATACCTATGGTGGTTCCATTGGTATCCTGCAAGCTTGGCTCACGCAACTGGAGTTAGCCAAAAAGTCAATTTAGCTCTAAATGAATCTGCTGGTGAACAGGTACCATTTATGACAGTACTAATACATGCTCTCGTAGTCATCCACGTGATGATAGAAGGTGGTTTTCCCCTTAGTGACTCCAGCTGTATTGAGTGTCCCAAGAGATGCTGCTGCTTCTGCTGGCAGATTAAGGGCATACATACGTGCTAGGTGGCTGT